AAAAAAAAATCTGAACGATCCATGCACCAGACACTTCAAGGTCACAACGCCTTGACTTCACTGCACAACAAAAAAAAGCAAATAACACGTCATATTGGTGGGGGGAGGATTAGAACCGGGAAAAAATTTCTGAACAATCCATACACCACACCCTTCAAGGTCACATCACAGTGACTTCACCAAACAACAACCAATAAAAAAGCAATTAATACGTCATAGTGGTGGGGGGAGGCTTAGAACCGGCTCAAATCTCCTACTAGTAACGACTAATTTATAAGATACAAATTGATATTACCATCATCATTACCATCACTCAAACTGGTGTCAGCAGTGGGATACATACCCACCGAGTATGTTCTTTTTATATCAGTAGTGATACAATTTAATTAGCAATGTATAGTAGATAAGATTATTATGTAACATGGGAATGTTTTGATTGGTTTCCGGTTTCAATTGCTCTCTTTAGCTGATCTCAGATACTTCGATATTTTCTTCGTTGGTTTGAAGACAGTGTTGAATTTTTCCTTCTTTAGAATGTTCCCGATTCGGGTGGTGACACCTTCTACCAAAGATCTGGCACACAACTTTGAAAGGCGCCAAAACGAAGCCAAGTCACCCAAAACCACGGCAAAACCCAGAAACCAACCAAAATATCATGTATGAATTTGAGATCATTCAGAAGGTGTCACTTTTTAGGAACATTTGCATTATTTTTCATCAACCAATTTCCAGGGCCGTAATTTAAAAGGACATAATTCACCCAATGTTGACCATATATTACCGAAACATCCCAAAACATAAAATGAAATTTAATTTCTTAGTATGAAGTGAACGTCTACTATCCAAAATCTACAACAAAAAATACAGGTCCGTATTTAAAAATTCAAAGATGGGGTGGCCCAAGTCAGATGACACTCAATATAAAAGATTCATGGACATATTTTGATAGCCCACATCAAGTGCCAATAGCAAAATGTGAACAGATTTTCAATATGTCTGCGAATGAAGAGGATATATAGTGAAAAATATTTGGGATTTTTTGGGTTTTCCTGTATATCTCTATATAAACGAATTTGAATAGCCCTGTATAAAACTGGATAGGATAATTTCGGAAATCCTTTACTTCTTGATCTAACTTGTATATTTTTCTCTGCTAAACCGGCACCTAATGAATAGAGGAATGAGCTGGTGGCAGAAATCCACTTTCAGTATAAATAGCGGTTCAAATTCAAATTTCCAGGTCAATTGACGAAATTTCTGTCGGTGACGCAGCCTACTCAAACAGATTGCAATGATGTGTGAAGTGGAGGTTTTAATTTCTCGTTTATACGTTATCAAAGCTCTCCAGAATAAATCCAATTAGTCGCTATTTTCACCCGCAATCTTCGCAGGAACATTAGCGTTGATGTCTCAGTTGGAGGTAGCCATCGAGCCATAGTTAGTATTGTAGAATCGCAACGCAAATGAAAAAATGTGATTATTCTTGAGGTTCTTGAGTTAACAGAAACGTAAAGGTCATCTAAAATAGCTGAACAATTGTAACACAACACAACAAAGTTTTTGTTTCGGGGTTGAAATTAGATGATTTTAATGTATCTCCACGTGTTAAAACCGAAAGTGGCCATAAAAATTATATATTGACTCTTGTTTTCAAGATATAGTATCATTATATTATATATATGTATATTGAGTTTTCAACAAATGAAATATTTCATCATCAACAGTTGGTACACATGTTTGTTTACATAACACCCCTCTCATCAGCTGTTCTTAAGTAGTAAACATAACCTTGTCAATTGTACGCACGTGGTTGCTATTGAAATTATCGTGTGAAGTTGATTTTTAAATTAATTTGAGTGCTGATCTGAAATGCCTCGAAAGTGTGTGAATTCTGTCGATAGCTTTTGCTATGTATGTGGTGAAATAACATTTAAGGCTCAGAAACGTAAAATGACACCTATCGTTAAGACAGCCTATGAACATTATTTTGGTGTGAAAGTTGGGGACCAAGATAAATCATGGGCTCCTCATGTATGTTGTAATTCTTGTTCCGTCATATTGCGAGAGTGGCTGAAAAATAAAAACCGGGCAATGGCTTTTGCAGTACCTATGGTTTGGCGTGAGCCTACCAATCATACAGACGACTATTATTTCTGCTTAACTCCTCCCATTAAGCAAGGTTTATCTATGAAGAAAAGAGGAACGGTTAAATACCCTAATCTCCCATCTGCTCTTCGGCCTGTACCACACTCAGACGATTTGCCAGTCCCTTCTCCACCCCAAAACTATGAAATTTTAGAGGAAGGTGATGAAGACTGTTTAGAAGGAGCAACCCATCCTTCTACATCCTATGACCCTGATTTTGAGGTAAGCGATAGGTCTAGTGATCCGCACAGAATTAGTCAAGCAGAGTTGAGTGACCTTATAAGAGATCTTCGCTTGTCTAAGGAAAAGGCTGAGCTGTTAGGGTCAAGACTACAACAGTGGAATCTTCTAAAACATGATGTGAAAATATCTCAGTACAGACAGCGTCAAAAAGATTTGCTTCCTTTACTCTCATCTTAATTTCTTCCCACAAAACTGTGGAGCTGTGAG